CTGGAAAGCTTATCAAATTATCTACAACTTTGTTATTAACCATTTTTACAGCAAACATCATCTCTATCATGCAACTTAGCAAACTCCAGAATCTATCCGGAAACTATTCCAATTCACATTATAGAGCAACAATACTTCTACTTCATATAAGTATTCAAATCTTTACGACCAAAAGTCTACCAACAGTTTAAGCATACCAAATACATCCAACAAAACATAATGGTGAAGTCCAAACTATTTATTTAAATGCCTTTATTATTTTATTTGAACACATAGGTTAAATAATAAACCTATACCAAATGTGCATCATAAATTCTCAGAAAATTACAGTGGCTTACTAGTGCTACCAATAGACTACTGTAAAAATTTCATACCATTTTACCAAGTAAAACATCCTATACAAAAATAACAAGGCAGCAAGGCTTGAAACAGCATAAATAGAAAACCCTAGTGAAAAGTGTCAAGCAACAGATTTCCTATTTTTCTTAGCATCCAAATACTACTAGGATTACCTCCAACAAATTTCATGAATATTGGATTCCTAAATAATTTATAAAAATTTACACAAGGATCTCCTAATTATAAAATAAAAATCTATAACTACAAATCTACAATTGCACTGATCCTCAAATTTTTATCAGAGTTCATATATGACAAGAATAGCTTACCACAAAAATTTCATAATTTTTGGAGCACAGGAACTCGAGATATAAAATAAACAAATTTGTATGCATTCAAAAGCACATTTCAAATTTCTATTTAAATCTCCAAAAATTTCTACTACAAAAGTTAAGAACATATTTTTCCTAAATACTACACTTCCTAAGGAACACTAACAAATTTATTTCACAATTTTTGAAGCTACCAAACTGAAGATACAAAAATCACAAAAGAATTCAAAAACTGGAAGCAAATGAACTATCCCACACTCTAACTGTCGCTGACCGGTGGGACCCGCCTAACAGAGGACCCCACACGCCAGTGAGACACGAACAGAGCAGTGGCGCTGCGAGACGGTGGCGCGGCCAAAGCTCGCCGACGGTGAGTTCGCCGGCGGTGAGGTCTTCACGACCTACTCGATTAGGCGCAACTTTTGCACTACTTGGCCGGCCCTATCGTCGACGCTAGTGACGACGGCGGCGGCCATGGCGGCTCGGCGAGGCGGGACGACGGCGGTACGACGGTGACTACCTCGGTGGCGTGACCTAAAGCTCGGACGAGCATCGCTGGACTACAAGGAATCTATTGCGCGCGCTCTCGTGGCCTGCAGTGGTCGGGTTAGGTGGAACCACGGCGACGAAGGGTGGCGGCGGAGCTCCGGCGAGGACCACACGTGGCACGGGAGCTTACCGTGCTTCTTTGGCTAGCAATGCAGGCTCGGTGGGACTGAGGGGGCGCTACCTGGCTTCTGTGGTGACAGAGGGGCGACGAGGGCGAGCTGGCGCCGGCAATGGCGTCGACGGCGCGCCTGAGCTACGGTGGCGGCTGTGGGTGAGCGAAGGAGGCAACAGAATGCGAAATAAAAGCGCGGGGACGGAGCAGGCGACTGTGGGACGCTATGCAGGGCGCTGCGGCTCGACGTGGCTAGGCTGATCAGAGCGAGGGCGACGCGCGGCCTCCATCGGCTCCACGCGGCGGCCAAGCTCTGGCGCGGTCGGCCACTGACGACGGCGGTTCATTTCGATTCAGTCGCGCGCGTATTAGCCTGACAGCAAGAATTGATGACGATTTAATAGCTAATCCGTAGCTCCAACGTGCAAACACTTTAAACCGAAATGATAAACCAATGTACCAGCTACAATTCTTGTTCAAAGAACTCGTTCTAATTCGCAACAGAAACGGAGTAAAATCATCCCAAATATCGGCTGTCAGTCAGTCAAGGTTCATGACTTAGCAAAAATTTGCTAAGTGCTGCAAATGTTGATTTTTTCTGATTTTGTGATCCAATTTCACACATGTTTGGAGCTGAATCAGTTAATGACCCAAAAATAAAAGTTGTTCCTTATAGCAAATACTACAACTTTGCTTTAGTGATCTCCTCCATGCAAGGTCTCTAACACCTAATTCAAACTTGGTCAAACAAGCTACATTCAAAAGATGGTACATACTTAAACTATGACATAATGACCTAATTAGCCCTAGCCATAAATACCAAAGTTGTTCATGATGATATTCTAAACATGTTTAAGCTATTTGCAAGGTCACACAATCATCTACATGTATCCACTCATGATCATTTGCATATATATACAAGGAAACATGAAATGATAAGAAATGTTGCATATGTTTCAATCAAACGTTTCAAGTGTAAATGCTCATATATGAATGCTTGATGCTCATGCTCATGTTATGCAAGTCAAATTGTGCAAGGCTAACACCCAAGGTGTTACAACAACGTACGGCAAAACTACAAATATTTACGTGTTGGTCACTTTCTGCACCGACACATTATTTGTGTTCCATTCGATCTACTTGGTTGTGTGTGTTTGTGAGTGCAGGGACTTCATGGACTTGCCACTAGACATCTCCAAGCACATCATTAAGAAGTTTGGTTTGAGTTTGATGTCTAAGCGTAGCAGCTGCTGAGTACTCTGTGTTGCCCGGAGGCTCCGCGACATCCCCCGGAGGTTCCGCACCCCGGAGGTTCCGCGTAGTTTCCCGAAGGTTCCGCGGTCTGCTAATCCGCTGCAAGTTTTATTTGTTGATAATTTTTAGAAACACCTATTCACCCCCTCTAGGTGACATCAAGGTCCTTTCACCCTCAATCACCTCTATGTCCTTCGCGTAGATCCTGACTGAGTGTGAGAAAGTGGATTAAAAGTTACATTAGTACTTGTGTTCACAATGCTTTTTTCTATGGGGTCCACCTCTTGCTATTGCATGTTCTTTTGTGTGGTTGATTGGAAGATTAAAGGGTATGCGACATCAAATGACATAAGGACAATTAAGGTTATGAGGCATATGATGAGTCATGGCTTATCTAGAACTCGCTGCAAGTGGCTGGAAGCCCCTCGTGATGAAGGCATGTTAGCCACATGATGTGGTGACCGCCCGATCGGGTGGCAGAGATTTTATTTATGGCATTGCCTAATAAAATGCAAGATCTTGAACTATGGATTCAAAAGTAAGAGATCCTTAGTTTCTAATTAGAAAACTTACTAGTTCAATAGTTCTTAGTATTCTTTTCTTCCATCAAGCAATGTAAGGCATATTTTAGAATGTGAAAGTCACTAAAAGTAAATTTTGACAAAATGATTTCTCTTCCATCATATTATCAATTTTTACAAAAACAACATCCTATCCAATATCTATTGTACATGGAACATACATATAACTAGAAAGATACCCTGCGTGTTGTTGCATGACTTTTTAAAAGATAAAGCTATTGCATGTATAAGTTAGACCTCCATGTTCTTGCATCAGTTCTTATCAAAATTAGGTAGGGCAATGAAAGAATATAATAAAAAGATAATATAATTAGATAGAATTATAAGATGATGGAACAACTAGCAAATATGGATGTCTTGTTATCTTGTACATTTCTTATATATTAAAAAAATAGTAATTACACTTAGTGGACGTGACGTGGATTGGATGCATTAAGAGGTTGAAAAATAGTGGGACAACATGAGATTTAGCACACAAAAAAAATAGATGGTTAGTGGGAGATGACGTTGATGACTTGCATGTTGATATAGAAAGATGTTGAAAGTTAGTGGGGATGGTGTGGCATTTGGTGGGAAATGATGTTGATGTTTAATGGAAGATGACGCGGATGACTTGAACGTTGAGATAGAAAGATAACAGGGTTTATGTTTATAAAAGATATAGATATAGATATAGATAGGTAGATATAGATAGATAGATATAGATTTAACTAATTAATGATCAGAGGTTGTAAAGTATGATTTTTTCTATCCAAAATACACATTACACTAATGGACAACTGGATTACATCTTGCACACAAAGAAAGAGAGACGAATTGATTTTCTATATGTGTTTTAGCGGCCGTACTCTTATGATTATTGAAAGATAGAAGAGTCAGTACTTTTATGAAATATGCATCCCATAATTCTAACCTTAGGGTGTTTTAAAAATATATTAATATTCGGAACAAATATCAAATGAATGGGCTATCAAAATATATTTCCTTTGAGTGCAAATTTGATAACTGCACATGTTGGTATTTTTTTATAAACTTGGTTAATTTTAACTAGAACTGAACTACAAAGATCTACATTTTAGTAACGGTATAAAAAAACTCCTCAGGAAATACAACCTTTAGGTAACCTTATAAGCTCTCTTTTCTTACAAGATCTCTCTCCAACATTGCAAATTTGTAATCCCTACACTACAGTTTGAGACTTTGTGGGGCTACTAACGGGCCATTTATCGTTCATCAGGAACCAGGTTTAACTAAGCCCAACAGCCCCACCACCCAATTTCCCGGGCCGTGGGCCGAACCTGACAGCCCGATCTGTTTGAGCCAGTCTCGACCGTAAAACACTCGTCCGTTAACCCCGGAGGTGAAACGGTAACATCCGCGGTCCCCAACGTGGGGCCCACTCGGCAGCGTCCCGCCCGGTAACCGTGCCTCTACGGCCGCGCGCACCAGCTGGAGCGCAGGTGGAACCCGCGGCGCCTTGCCCCGTTAACACACGCCTCCCTTGCCCGCCATTAACTGCCTCACGCTCCTCTCCCTCCCTCCCTCGCTCGCTTGTTCGGCACACTCCCTCCCCAAAGCGGCAGCCTCTCACGCGCTCCACCACGCCACTTCCCTCCACCCCTCTCTATATACTCCACTCCTGCTGTTTTCCGTCCATCCGCCCACCGCTTCGCAGCTCCCATCCCAAAACCCTAGCCCCCGGCGGATCGCGGGGCGCCTCCGGTGCGTGTCCGGTGCCAGCGACGCGGCTCGTTTGATCCGATTGGTTGGTCGGGCACCGCTCGCTGCCGCGCTTCGCCCGGCGGTGCGGCGGGGAGCACCGAGCACGCGGAAATGGGGAACTGCTGCTGCTGGGGCGCGCGGATCAAGGATGGGAGCTCTCACCCTGGCGCCTCAGGTTCGTCCGTCCTTCTCTCTGCCGTTGCTTGGTACCGTTAGTTCATGGGGCGATTCGAGGAGGGGTTTGGGCGATCCGTGCTTGCTAGTTGCGCTCTCCGGTCAGGCGGAGGGCTTTTGAGATGTGAAAAATCCGGTTCGTTGCTCGCGACACATGTATGTATCTTTTGCGAAATGATGTGTACTCATCTGCGTGATGCGTTTTTTTGGGTGATTTGATTAGATAAGTTTCCTAGGCTCCTAGCAACAGAGGAGGAACTTTCATCGAATCAAGTAGGCAATGGCATACTGTGGTTATGTACTCTTGCTTGTTGGTTAGGCTGATTGGGCTATTCCGGTGGGTCTTGTTCTGTTAGATGATTCCAACGTTTCAGCTGTCTTGCCAACCTCAATGTGTCCAAGGAGCTAGAAGTGAGCCATCGCAATCGCTCTAGAGTGGTTTTTTTTTTTGTGCTAAAGCGAGCTTGGAACCTGAGGCGATGTACTTTTGTAGGTGGTGCTGCACTTGTGCAAAAAGAACTTAGCCTTTATTAGATGATAGGCATTACCTTATTTCGTATGGTAATGGATGGGACATGTGCAGTGGTTCTTTCGTTATCCGCTCGGTAGCACTTGTCCTCCTGAGATGACATTGGTAAGTGACATGAGGTTGACTTTACTGCAAGAAGTCTTATCACTACCTTATTAGATAATGTTTTGTGTTGACCACCTGCATGTGTAGTTCCAACCACCCTGGATTCTGTTTTTGACCTAGGTGATATAGGATCGAAGCAGGACCAGTACTGTGGTAGTGTAATAACTAGTATGACTTTTCTTGTAGCATTGTGTGTGTACCCCAGATGACCACTATTTGGCATGCTTATACTGTTGAGTGTGGACCTTCACTATTCACATTTTCCCTCTTGTGAAATATATCACACGAACAAAGGAAAAATATTTTAGGAGTTGACTAATTGTTTCCTGTTGTTATTATATTTTTATTCATTTGCTTAATGTACGGTGTTGGTACAAAATTAGAAAAAAACCGAAATTCTACCTTGATGTATTTTGATAGTGTCATAACAAAGCTAGTAATGTCTACCAGTTCACATCCGATAGTCGGTTTCTATGACCTATTGATTAAATGTTTTGAGCGGTTAGTCACAGTTACGTTAATGCCGACTTATATTGTTTTTCCTTACAAAAGGCATGTATGTTTACTGCGTTATCATATGCCTACATCGGTTGCTCTTGCACTAAAAATGTTTTAGGATCCTCTAGGAAAATTGGTTTCTGGAGCTGATTCTTCGACATCAATCAACCCATTAGTGCTAGAATTTTTGCCAAAAACAGCGATTATTCCTGCCTATAGCTGTCTGCAGGTTCTCTTATCAATCTTTAGAGATGGCCGAGCAATGATTTTCAATATACAGTTCCTTATATTGTACGGTGCTAGTTTCCTATTAAAATATATGTTTAAGTGGATGTGCCTTCTGGATAGTGATGGTTGTTATTTATATGAGCCTCGGATATATCATCACAATCTTATTCACCATTGGAACAATATGAGGCTTTTGTTCGGTGTTTTCTTTTACCCTTAAGTAGAATCTTTACTAAATGCTTGATCTGCAGGAATATTCTCGAAGAGTAGTGGTAAGGATGGGAGTAGGCTTAGCGGCTGTAGTAGTCGAGCCTCTTCAGCTTCCATGCCACCAAGTGCCAAGACTGAATGCGAAATACTGCAATCCGCCAATGTTAAGGTCTTCACCTTCAATAATCTCAAGGCAGCCACAAGGAATTTCCGTCCTGATAGTGTTCTAGGTGAAGGAGGGTTTGGATCTGTCTATAAAGGATGGATCGATGAGAACACATTATCACCTTGCAGGCCTGGCACTGGAATTGCTGTTGCTGTGAAAAAACTCAACCATGAGGGTTTGCAAGGGCACCGAGAGTGGTTGGTGAGTATAATGTATAATGCTATTCTATTTTATGCTATTGCCCTGTGAATACATGATTGTTCATGTTTGTTTGAAATTTCCTCTTGCATCCCACCTTTCTGTGCTGGCTTTGGTTACTAACATAGATAAGTATTCTGTTCATAGGCGGAAGTTAACTACCTAGGTCAGTTCTGTCATCCCAACCTTGTCAAGCTGATTGGATACTGCGTAGAGGATGAGCACCGACTGCTAGTATACGAGTTCATGCCCCGTGGGAGCTTGGAAAATCATCTGTTTAGGAGTAAGTTACCCAGGACCTTGTGTTACTGATCTCTTATTTTTTGTTCATATTATAATATTGCTGTGGTAGTATGTCTTCTGATTTATTAGTTGCTCTATGAACCCTTGATGTAGGAGGCTCATACTTCCAACCTCTGTCATGGAACCTTAGAATGAAGGTTGCACTTGGAGCAGCAAAAGGACTGGCTTACCTTCATAGTGCAGAGGCAAAAGTTATTTACCGAGATTTTAAGACTTCCAACATCCTCCTTGACACAGTAAGTGAAAGTGAATCTGCAATGCAGGATACTTCATTTCAACATTTGTTTGCTCCACTGAAAGAGGTACATTGTATTAATCTTGAGGATTATTCTGCGAAGCTTTCTGATTTTGGATTGGCTAAGGATGGTCCTGTTGGTGAGAAGAGCCATGTGTCCACAAGAGTTATGGGAACATATGGTTATGCCGCTCCTGAGTATCTTTCAACGGGTAACATTTGAAGTGCAGCTCTGTGTTTTCCCTCCAAATTTCTGTAGATTTGCTTGCCCTGATCTAGAAACTGCATTTTGTGACAAAAACCTAGCTAATGGCGTACATTAAATGACACATTCAATATAAATCCTAGACTCCTTAAAAATGGTATAATTGGTCCCCTGCATGGAAATTCCAATTTTGGTGTATCATATGCTATATTGAGTTGACTAGTTAAGTTGCATTTTTGAAAGAAGTTTTAGTGCTATGCATTAGTGGAGTGGGGTTGAAAAAGAAGGCCATGGATGTTGGTGCTTGTTTTCATGGTCTTCTAAATATATCATAAACAGTTGCGTGACGTGGCTTAGATTTCATTTTATGAATTCAAATTACAGCACTTCGGGCTTTGGTGCGAAAATGTTGTGATTGTCTTGTAGACAAAGAGCGCCATTTTATTTCGGTAGCCTTGTAAGAACAGCTCAATCATTGCGTGGCTTAGATGCCATTTTATGAATTCAAATTACTGCACTCCTAGCTTTGGTGCGAAAATGTTGTGATTCTGTCTTGTAGGCAAAGAACGCCGTTTTATTTCAGTAGCCTTGTATGAACAGGTCACCTAACTACAAAGAGCGACATCTATAGCTTTGGAGTAGTGCTTCTGGAGATGCTGTCAGGCCGTCGTGCCATCGACAAGAACCGCCCCCAGGGTGAGCACAATCTTGTGGAGTGGGCTAGACCTTACCTCACACATAAGCGCAAGATATTCCGCATCCTGGATACAAGGCTGGAAGGTCAATACAATCTCAACAGTGCGCAAACAATTGCTGCCCTTGCTCTTGAATGCCTATCCTACGAAGCTAAGATGAGGCCGACTATGGATGCTGTGGTCACTATTCTACAAGAGATCCAAGACTCCGGTGAAGCCGAGAAGCATCAAGAACCCAAGGCTGGAACCAAACAGGCACCTGCTGCTGTGAATGCTAGCAAGAGCACTCGCAAGCCTCGCCGGAGAAGCCTGGCAGGCACAAAGGAGACTGTTGGTCCAAATCCAAAACCATTGGCCCATTCTCGTTAGCAAGGAAAAGCATTGAACTTGGTCAGGTCGTTAGCTAGACTGTAGCTTGTGAATATGCTCTGGTCTGTGTATATTGAGGGTAATCAGGCTTTTGGTAACAAGTTTTTTCTTTTTTATCGTGAGCTGCTCGGTTTCAGCTTGACTGCATCTGTATGTCGAAACCCATGGCATCAAGAGAGAGCTCATGTTCCGAGTCTTTAACCTGAAATCATCGTCTTTGTTGCAGGCTGCATTTATTCCAGGTTATAAGCTGTTCAGTAGGCATCAATGTGTCGCACCCATATCTTAGTGCTGTTGACTGTTTGTGCTGCTGAGATATGATACGTGCCCGCTTTACCGATGTTCGCGTGGTTGAAAAGATCGTTACCGATTTGTTGCTGTTTGTTGGCTCATGGGCGCTGATGTATCCGTGACATGATGTTGACAGGCGCTTTGCCGATCGAGATCTCCGGCGTGAGGGCCGTTGCGATGGGCATCGAAGTGGATGTGGATGGCACTGGCAGTCCCAGCTGCTCAGCTTGCCGGCCATTGCCATCTCCGTTCCCTCCCTCTCTTCACGCCGCTGATCTCGGCCCCACCGCATCGCCTGATGACAGCAACCATGTCCACACCTCAACTGGGTGTCACGGAGGAGTGGGAGTCGCATTTGGCTCCCTCCACGGCGACGTCGACGCGTAACTAGCGCCATCTCCCGATGAACTCACCAAGCCGCACCGGTAGCAGAGCATCATCATGCCGGCGAGCCATGCCATGTCCCGAACACGGCGTGGTCGGTGGCGCAGTCGCCGTCACGAGCGCGACACTATCGTCCGAACTCGAGCAACCAGACAAGACAGAACCGACCGAGGCCATCCCAAAGCAGAAGAAGGCCCTGCCCGGTGCCCGGCTGCCCGCTTTCGCTTTCTGCTTTATCCCTTTGTTTCACGTATTTTCATTTCGGCACAACCGGAGGAAGCAGCCCTTGCTGGCATTCACGCAAAGCAGCCGGCACGAATCAATGAATCATCGCGGTCGTCATCATGCGTATATCGCGTAGGTTTACGAGGTTTTCTTAACCAAGCATCACAGCGACACAGAAGCGAGAGCAGCAAGAAAAGAAACTTTCTTACAAGTCCAACCACCTTACTTACTGGCAATGGAAATCAGGTCCATGATAACAATAAATAGATAACAAAGGCGTGTCATGGAGACATACGGGACGGAAGGACAAGACGAGCAGCTGCGGGCTACGCTCACCACCCCCCAATTTTGAGCTGCAGCTTGGCAGCCACTTCAGCCACTCTTTAGTTTCGACAGATATCCATCAGACCCCACAAACACGATCCATAACCACACACTCATGGCGTAGAGTACTAGGGACCAGCTAGACGGCAATATACCCTAACCGACCCTTTTGCCTCCAATGTTCAGAAGAAAAACTCCTTTTCAGAGAGGACTTGACCTGGAATTAAGGCGAGAAGGCGTGGTGGCCTTAAACGGGCATTCACGTACATTCCCACCCTAACACGCGCTTAATGACTACGTATACTAGTAGTGATTATGTATATATAATAAGAAGACCTTGGCTTCTTCTCACTCAGCGGTCGAATTTGATATGACCTCATCAGACCCTGAAGTTCTTGCCTCGAAGGTCTGGCCGAACTGCCAGTTGCGCGGGGCGGCGTTCCAGGAGGTGGAGGTGCGGCGGTCGCTGCCGGTGACGCGGAAGGAGAGCGCCTGGCCGACGAGGATGGCATTGGACTGCCAGTTCTGGCCCCAGTTCCGGGACATGGGCAGCCACCCGGTGCTGGACGCCTTCACGCTCGCGCGCACGATGTCCCCCGCGCCGGCCACGTTGGTGATCAGCACCAGGTTGAAGTACCGGAAGCCGTTGATGGTGAACCGCACGCCGCCGGACTTCCGGCATGGCACCCTGCAGCGAGAACCAAATCTTCATTAGCACGCTTTCTTTTTCTTTTGTATAATGCTAAGCACTCCCAGTAAACACTTTTTTTACAGCATCGCTAGATTTAGGGCTTTTAAATCCAGCCTGTACTACAAGCAGCAGTACACAGGGGCAGAACGGGAAATGCCAAGCGAGTTGTTCCTGCGGCTGTAGTGGAAAAAAGACAGGCACGACAGGCACCACGGCCAGGAGGTGCAGTTAGCGCAGGCAGAGTGCAGTGCAGGACCACTGCGGCTTCACGCGGCAATGGCGGAGCTGCAGGACGGAAGGACGGAAAGGCCCCTGGGCTTTACAGGTCACGCGGGGACCGGGGCACGGAGGAACCAAGGGCAAAGGGGCCATTTCAGGTGGTAGGCAGGCCGGTGAAGGTATGGGCCTATGGGGTCATTTTGGAGATGTGAAGCGTCAGGCGTGGACGGGGAGAGCCGCAAAAGACCCGGAGTCTGTGCGGTGCCTGCCTGTGCCCCCGGCGGCAAAAGTGAAAAGGTCAAAGCCTGTGCTGCCCTACCAGTACCAGTGTGTCGTCTACTGTTCCTACAGGCGTTTTTTGGAGGCTTCTCTGGGCCTTTCCTGTGGCCGATGCCCCGGGTGGTCGTCTTTCTCGAAACAGTGTTCCACTACTCGTGGCTTATAAGATTTTTTTTTTTTCTATCGAGGAAGAATATTTTTCTCGCAATAAATCACACAATACTCTTAATGGAGAGCTTATCAGCCAATCCAACTGAGCTTATCAGCCAATCCAACCGGGAACGCCACTAACGCTAGACACAACAAAAACAACCACAACTGTACAGATGGCAGATTAGACCCAAATAGAATACTTCCGTTTCTTTCGTCAGGAGTCGACGAGGTACTACTAAACTACTACTAGTAGCACCGGACGTTCGTCCGTCCGTCCGGCTTCCGTCCCATGTGACCTGCCGGAACGGGCTCGCTCGCTACCATGCTTGTGTTGTCTGTATGGTGTGCACCCCGCGCAATGGCTAAGCTCAAACTCTAGAACTACTACGTTCCAAACTGTACCAAGAAGTGCCAATGGAGACGTGGTGGACTCGTATGGACGCAGAAAATCACAAATTTCCTCTAGCTCTGTACCAAATCGCCTTGGATTTATCACGTACTACCGCAGAATTTTGCGTTGCGGCTATTACGCCGCGATCCGGTGCCCTTCCCAGCCCGCCATCGGGGAAAGTAGTGATTGCCAGCCCGCGCCGTGATCGAAGCTAGGGCGTGTTCTTTTCTCAGTAAGACTAGAGACTAAACACTAAGCGACGCGAAATGAATTGCCATGCCGTGCAGGTCCGTGCCGCCAGATCGATCGATCGGCAACGGAACAAGCCACCGGAGCTGACGAAACGGGCAGGGCAGGGAGGGGGGAGGAAAAAAGGCGGAACGGACGCGGTGCGGGCGTTGGTCGATGGTGGTTGTGTGCCCGGCTGCCGTGCGTGAACCTGTGACGGAACGCGTCACGGGCACGTTTTTTTTCCCACCCACAGGCCGCAGCTACACTGCAGCGGGCAGCAAAGAGCGGAGGAGGAGGAGGAGGAGCCCCACTACGCCTCAAAAGACGCGTGGGCAGAGGGAGGAATCTCTGCTATTGCCCTGCAGACGAAACGCCCAGTGGAGTGGAGGGACAAAGGCGTCAGAGCCCCGGTGCTCCAACCAAGAAGCATGTCGTTTACTACTACTGGCACCGTGCCCAACACTGTTGAAGAGGGAGAGGGGAGAGGAGGGAAAGCGTCGTCGTACCGGCGGTAGGAGACGGGGACGATGCCGGCGCGGTACTCGGCGATGTGGAGGAACATGGGCATGGCGAGGTCGAAGTGCGGGCGTGGCGGGTTGCACCAGCCGCCGTCGTCGGAGGGGAGCGCGTAGTTGGGCGGGCAGAAGTTGGTGGCCGTCACCAGGATGGAGGGGCTCCCGGGGCGGCACCACCGCCACCCGGGCTGGTTCTCGCACTTGATCTCGAAGCACGCGCCGCAGCTCAGCCCCTCGTTGAACAGCGCCGTGCTCAGCGCCGCGTTGTTCACGCCGTACCCCTGGCTGTACAGGTTGCCGTACCCGCACGCGCCGCCTGCAAGACCGCCAGCCGAGAACGGCAAACGTTTCTTTCAGTTAGCCATTCCGTTTCTTCTCATTCATGAGATCGACGACAAGCACGGCGAGGAAGGAAGGAAGAAAACGCTGCGACCAGACCAGACCAGCCAGCCCGGACGTATGTAATGTAACGAACTTACCCATGGTGCCCGAGGCGTCGCTGCCGCCGTAGAACGTGGCGTGCGCGCTCTGCCAGCCGCCGCCGCCGTACACGCCGGGCATTCGGGCGTCGGCGGGGGAGAGCATCGTCGCCGCGGTCAGCAGCAGCAGCACCGCCGGCATCGCCGCCATCACTCTCCCTGAGTCCTCTTCCTCGCCTGCCGCTACAGGACGGACGCTGTCAGTCAGTGCACCGCACCACGCAGGCGAGCGAGCGGCGGAGGCACAGGGAGTGGAGCGGTGGGTGGCGAGTGGCGAAGGGCGGGGTCGTATTTATGGAGGCACGAGACAGACCAGATAATGGCGCGGGCGGGCGCGGCCTGTGGAGACTGAAGGGCTTGTGTAAATACAGAGCCGCTCAGGGGTGTCACATCAGTACTGATACGACTGTGTTCGGATAGTAATAAAAAATAAATTATAAAATTTATTAGTAATCTGTGAGATAAATTTATTAAATTTAATTAATCTATTATTAGTATATGTGTTACAATAGCACCATATTATCAAATCATTGACTAATTAGATTTAAAAGATTCATCTCGTAAATTAATCGTAAACTGTGTAATTAGTTATTTTTTAATCTATATTTAATTAATATTTTATATATGTATCAAATATTTAATGTGATAGCAAGTAAATTTTAGGGGACGAACTAAGCACGGTCTGACTGCGCGTGAGGGGGTAGTCTACTACGCGCCTACTGGGCCATGCCAGCCCACAGCGCGGTGAAAGGAGGAGCAGGCCGCGGGCCGGGGAGGAATTGAGGAAAGCGGAGGAGAATGCGCAGTTGATTCAGCAGCTGATGCCGGGAGGGTGAGCTGCTGATGGCGTGGTACGTGCAGCTGCTCGGAGTACATCGCTGTGCACTGCTCACCTTGCCTGCATCCTCACGCAAACGGAGGGCAGTTGGGACCTTTCCTTTTTTTTGCAACTTTTTATTTAATTTTTTTAATTGTATTCTTTTTTTTCTTGTATTGTATTTTCTTTGTCCATAAATATTTATGCTGATAACTTTGACTCAATTTATAGAAAATACGTTTCTATCTTTAAATAAATCTATTAAAAACTAGATTCAAATATCTATCAATGATACTAATTATATATCATAAATATTAATATTTTCTAATATATAATTAGTCAAAGTTGTTTCTTCGGAAGTGAAAAACGACAGAGAGTATGTATACGGTACTGTTTGGATTCGATCATGGGTCAGGTCGTCAGAGTAGCAGCGGTACACCGTACACACTACTCGATGGCGTTTGCCGCGGCGCTGTCGAGTGGAAACCGTCACGCGTACAGTGGCCTGTGACCATGCCAGTGAGGTTTAATAAATGCCCATTTCGGCAATTCCACGGTTATGAACTGCACGAATCATAGCTACGGTACGTGAAGAAAATCGAATGGATCGTTGTGGATCAGTCGATGAATGTGCGGGATTAGTGAGATGGCCCCGTTCGTATGTTCAAACTCTACTGAAAACTAAATTGAAAAACACCGTTAAACCGAATTATATGAGAAAAACACCGTCTTAATAAAAAAAAAGTTTTAATGCAAATTCGAATATGGGATAAGCCGAATATGGGGTGAGGATCCTTTTTTTTTTCTATACCAGGGTTCATTTGGAGTTTCACATGAATCAGTTAAACGGAGAAAAATAATGCCGTGTTCTAAACACGGCGTGATACCATTCCCTGCGACATCCGGGGGGCCGTTTTTACTAAACCATTCCCATAACAAATGCTGTTGAGTGTTGACCTCTCACAGTCACAGCGTCTGCGCCGCTGCCCGAGCCCATGATTTGGGCCATCATTTGGTCCTGTCTTTTTTCCTCTTGCCGTGCCGGGGGCTCCATGATCCGAACGGAGGCACCATGATTCAGGGCTCCGGGACCAGGAGGCACGCTGCAGCTGCAGGCTGCACGCAAGCGGACGGCCTGGCCGGTGGCGACTGGCGAGGCCTAAGCATATCAGTATATCACGGTCGCGGAGGCACGCTCGCTCACGGCTCGATGGCGCCAGTGCGCCACGCCCGCCGCGCGCGAGGAGACCAAAAGGGCTGGGCCATCCGCGCGACCGTACGAACGCTATCCGTGGACCGTCGGTTGGGTGGCCGGCTGGCCGCACGCCGCGCTTTGCGTCCATCGCAAGTTGTGCGCCGGCCGCTGCGCTCTGTCTCAGCCTCTGCTCTCCTGGCCGGTGGCCATCCATTCCCGGTTCCCGCTACCTCCTCTGAAGGCGCGAGTGAATTCGACCGGTCCGCTTTTGGTAGTACGCCGTGTTCCTTTTTCCACATTGTTCTTGGAGGGTCCCTTGTCTGCCGCCTGCCGACGGCCGGAGGGTCTCTTTTCGTCGGCGGCCAGTGCTTTTGCAGTTTCTGTGTGCTTCGCCTTCGCGCGTACTACACCCGGGCTACGGTGGACGGTGGTATGGCAATGCGGCAGTGCCATGCGAGTTCGAATAAGCTATGGCGCGCGCCCTTTCGCCGCCGCCTCGAACGCGAAGGTGCGAAACGTCCGTCTCCAGCAAGTGTACACCATCTGCCAAAAGCAGCAAAGCAACTGTCTGCAAACTGAGCTGTTCGGCTAATAGTTTTTACGGCTCAGCTGATGATATTTTATTATGAGAGAAAAATATTGTATCATGACCGATAAATTCAAGCGAACAGCTATAAAGAGCGCACAACATCGTATTGTCACGGGCATTTGCATCGCTACAAGTACGTATGTCGCGCTTGCCTCCGGCGGCCTCCCCATCGGCAATTATTGGAAAACAGTGTCGCTGCGAGTTGCAACTTGCAACCTCAACACGTGCCACGTAGCTAGAGTGGACCTGGTCACCCGTAGAGACACAGACACAGGGTTGGCGTGTGAACTAATAAATCTGACCATGCATGCAAAGCAGCCGGCGATGCAGATCGAGCTAGTAACCATGGCAGCAGCAGCAGCTGCTGCTGCGATTCATTTGTTGGGTCATGGACGGCTCGTGGTAGATCCGGAGCGCAGTGGTAGGCCGGGCTCCAACTTCATCTCTGCATGCGCAGCGCAGGGGACGTCGTACACTCGTACGTGCTAGTAATGCCGTGACACGTCACGTGCTTACTGGCTGCACGTACGCGCTGATCAATCGCCTAGCTACCAAATGACACTGCCTTAGCTCTCACGGTGGTTGCGCCGGTATGTGTGTTTGTTAGCGTCACGGGGGCGTTTCGCACGACGCCACGCACAAAAACAGTTTTTGGCCGTGGACCGTGTGGTATGCCGTATCGTTTTCTGATGCCAGTTTCCAAAGGGCTCGGTGGTTCACGAGCGCAACCAAGAACAAGAAGGCGCGTGGATTTTCGATCGCCGCCGAAGAAATGCTCGGTGGCCCGCGGCCCCGTCCGGCCGGAGCCAGGCCTCGGATCCGTGTGTGGCGAGCGACATCCGCGACGGCGCGCCACCATTACTCTACTCGCCGTACGACTCGCCCACGGCCGAGGCCGTGATAGATGTCCCCACCACCTCGGCCTCGAGCAGATCGCCTGGAGGAAACCGCAACCGCGCGCACCGAACTGATCGCATACATGGCGCGCCCGCGGCGGTGCCAGTGCAATGCTACGCTACACTATGCATGCCCCGTTGCAGGCTGGCAGCGTCGCTCACACGCCCGGTCGGACGTGGTCGTGGCTGGTCCCGCACCCGCGCTTCAAAGCACCTCGCCGGAATTCAAGCCTCCTTTGCCTTCTCGCGTCCACGCCAGGCTCCCTCCGTCTCCCCTGCCCTGCACCCCATGCCCCATCCCTCTTCACTGCTCTCGCGCGAGTGCATGCCGGGCACACGCCAAGTTCAATCGGGATACGCCTCCTGCCGGCTGCCGGTGCTGCCTGGCGTTGAATCGATCGGCACGGCGGACGCACAGGATTTACCGGCAGGACGACGGTTATTAGCTCAACTGGTCAGAGTTCAGCACACGACGTGAATGCGACTGCGACACCCCCGCGCGCGCCGAGCGGCCACGGACTGACGCGCGCGACTACGCGTCAAACGAAAGCGCCCACAACGCCCCGGCGCGACGGGCGGGACAGGACGCGGCTGGCCCAGTGGCCCACCCGCCCGGGCCAGCTCGCGCTTCCGGCTTTTCCGGAGGAAATCGCACGGCGGACCGGTCTGTTGGCTTTGGTTTGCTTCGGTTGGGGGATTTCGCTGTTCCGGTGGGTGCCGCGGCCGCGCCCCCCGGGCCGTGAATGCGATGGCGACGGCCGGCTCGGGGCGGCCTTTAGCTCGTCGCGCGGTACGCTTGCCGGCCGCGGCCACCGCACGCCATGCGCACGTATGTGGGACTGGGTGGTGGGTGAGCGAGGCGTGCGTTAACTCGTGTCTTGGCTTCCACGTCTCCCCGCTGGTCCGGTCTGGTTCTCGCCGATTCATTCGCACTCGCTGGCATGGCATGGCTGCACTACTTCGGTCCACACCTGCCTCTGCTCTTTCACCGGCGGTTCGGGGTACAGAGGTCAGGTCAGCTATGATTATTTGCACTCTCACTTTGCCTAGTGTCACTGCTTCAATCATTTGCGAGGTTGGTAAGCTCTATCGTGGACCCCGGAGTAGGTTACCAGGGTTGTTGCAGCCTCGTAAAGGAAAACGGGACAGGTTAGTAGACTCCATATAGGAGTATCCTCCAACAGTCCAATTAGCGAGTCCCATAACCATGTGAGTTTTCGTCGTTGCGTATAGCAAGCAGCAGCCAGCGGCCAAACAAAGAGGCACACAGACACTTGTGTGAGGACTGCGGAACCTGCCGACGCCCAGCTCTTGGAATTTCCCTGCGCCGCTGTAACGATTTGACCTGACGGCTGGCCTGTGCTAGGCTCGTAGCCGTACGGAATACTGTTACCACCGTGCGCTAGTAGGAGTACTTCCACTACCTGTGCAGTCGTGCACTACTCCACCAGGTGTAGAGCTACGTACGGATCTAGTGCTGCGTACGCGGCACTGCGGCAGCTGCTGCTGAGCGGCGGATCGTGCACGGCGCTCGTCCGATCTTGTGGCCGGTGGGTGGATCCCTGTCCCGTTGGGGGGCCTTGGGTGGACGGGGTTTGGTTTGGCGTCTCGGGACCCGAGCCACGAACACGTACGTAACGCAGCATGATCCGGT